AGCTGCATTGGGTCCCAGCCTGCTTCTGGGTCCAATTCAAGGGGTTGGTTATTACCTTTAAAACTCTGCATAGCAGGGGTCCAGGTTACCTGAAGGACTGTCTCACCCCCATCACGTTAGCCCGTCCCACCCAGTCAGGCAGAGAGGGCATGTTGCGGGTCCTGTCAGTGAGAGAATGTTGACTGGCAGGGCCCAGGAGGAGAGCCTTCTCTGCCATTGCCCCCGCCATCTGGAATATTCTCCCCCCAGAGGTACAGCAGGCCCCTACTCTCCTGGCCTTCTGGAAAGGATTAAAGACCTGGCTCTGCCAGCTTGTGTGGGATAATAGCATTCTTACCCAATCCTGGGTGTGGCTGACGCCTTGTTGATGCTCCCTAAGTGACTGCCAATTTTATATCTATTCTTGGATCCATTTATTTTCTATTTATTAAGTGTATTATATATTGTAATTTTAATCGATTTTAACTGTTTTATGAACTGCCCAGAGTCAGCGAGATGGGCCATGACAAATTTGACATATAAATAAAAAATAAATAAAATGTGGGTTTTCTTTTCTTTTTTGCTCTTTTGAGACCTCATCAAATTGTCACTGAGCGGGTTTAGAAAAACCTGCTCCAATGCATTCTGAAACACCACTGAGGAATCAAATTGAAAAGTTGCACAATTCTTCTAATAACTAGTGTCAAAATAGGATAGAGTTTGTACATTTTTAATAGTAGCACGTACAGGCAGTTGTGAACTCATAGCTGTATGGGTCTTTATGAACTTTAGGATGGGGGTGGCTGAGGCGCAGATCTGCCTGCAACCAAATCCATTGAATAACTTTGGACCCATTACTTTCAGAGTGGCTGTTTCTAGGGGGAAAAAAGGAGATAGGAAATGCAGGTGCTGCTTGAGATATAGGAAGGGCAGGATGAACTTGGCGAGAAAAGCTGCTCTTGCCAGATTCATGTTTTTGTGGGACTTTAAAAGCAGAATTGAAGCCGAACGTGCTGTTGAGGCCCTGTCTGTAGTACAGTAAGTTCCTGGGATGCAATGGCAAACAGAATCCTTTTAGATGTTCTAAGGCAGGTTGTCCAAACTTGGCCACTATAAGATGAGTGGACTTCAACTCCCAGAATTCCCCAGC